AATCCTACTTCCGTAGTGATACTGCCTCGGAAACCCAAGGAGGGGTCACTATGAGTCGGGGTCGACTCGACGGCACATAACAACAACAACAACAACAAGCTGTGAGAGAATTAATTTGTGTGTGTTAAAGTTACCCACTTGTGTTATTTCTGTTATAGCAGCACTAAATAACCAAGACAGAATTTGTTACCGATAGTGGGGTGCCAATATTCTAAAGGACACCTAAAATGTGGAGGTGATTTTGATATTGGGTAATCAATAGAAGCTGGAAGAGTTTCAAGGTGCCTCTGGTGGTGTAGTGCTTAAGGCATTCAGCTGCTAACCAAAAGGTTGGTGGTTCAAACCTACCAGCTGCTGCATGGAATAAAGATGAGGCAGTTGGCTTCCATAAAGATTCATAGCCTTGGAAACCCTGGAGGGCACTTCTACTCTGTCCTACAGGGTTGCTCTGAGTCAAAAATGACACAGTGGCAGTGGGTTTCTTTTTGTTGTTGTTGTTTGATATTAAAAGTCTAGGTTGCCTTGAAGAGACTGTTGTTAGAATTATGGACATCAAAAGCAATTCTAGTGAGGACTCAGAAAGAAGTGAGGACAGCTGTAATACAAGAGACAGCACAGACAACAAAAAGCAGCAGCAAAGAAACGGTGTCAACAGAACCAGAAGACTGGCACGAGACAGTATAGGAGTGGACCTACAGAACAAAAGAACTGAGTGCCTTCAGGGAGGAGGCTTCCTGGTAGAGTGAGGTGCGTCCAGGCACATGACGAGGGAGCTAAGCTTGCAACCCATAGAGCGAGATGACTAAGCATTTGGGCCAAGGCTTACTCAAGAGAGTAGGGTTCTTTTAGGCACTTATTGGTAGAATTAAAGAACTGTGTAACACTTGTCCAAGCAAGGCAGAGGCTGGGCTGGCCCAAGAGGTCTGAGGGGCTGAGAAGCTGAGGGGCCAGGAAACCAGAAAGCAGAAGATGAAGAGAAAAGGAGCATGGGAAGCAGAGCTGCCTCAATTTCAAAAGAGTAGGACCATGATCTCTGGGGTCTCAAAGGGTGGAGTCACAGCCTCCGGGGTTTCAAAGGGTAGGGCTACAGCCTCCTAGGTTTCAAAGACTCAGATTTTCCAGAGTATGGGGCTGTTATTCATGAATGCCAGGAGGAAGAGGCCAGATACACTACCCGAAGCTGAGAGGGTAGGGCAGCCATGCCCAAGGAGCAGAAGAATGGGGTTTGCTGAGGCCAAAGGGGTGGATTGCCACTTAGCTGGATTTGGAAAATGGCATCCCAGTTGCTGTCCCAGTGGACCTGAAGGCAGAGTTGAAGCCCAGGGCCTCCACCCAGAATCCCAAGAGTGTGGCTAATTCCCAGAGTCTGAAGGGCAGTGTCATTGCCCGGATGATCTCAAAGGAATTGTTCTGCTGGGTTTTAGACTAACTTTGGTGCCTATTATTTTTCCCATTTGTAATGGAAATGTCTACCTGCGCTTGTTCTACCACTGTACTTTGAAGCAGGTAACTTGTATTCTAGATTTCACATTTTCACAGATGAAGAGGAATTTTGCCCCAAGAGATTTTAGACTTAAGAGTTGATTTAAGACTTTTGAGATGATGTGATGGGGTGAATGTGTTTTACCTGTGGCAAGGACATAAACTTTGTCCATTAAAGGCTGGAATATTATGGGTTGGAGTGTGTTCCCCAAAAGATATGTGTCAACTTGGCTAAGCCATGAGTCTCAGGACTACGTAATTATCCTCCATCTTGTGATTGGATGAAATTATCCTGTATGTTGTAAATCTTAACCTCAATGATGTTAACGAGGCAGCATTGTTGTTATTGTTATTGTTGTTGCTAGGTGCTGTCGAGTCATCTCTGACTCATAGTGACTGTATGTACAACAGAACGAAACACTGCCCAGTCCCATGGGAACCTCACAATCCCTACTATACTATAAGCCCATCACTGCAGCCACCGTGTCAATCCATCTTGTGGAGGACCTTCCCCTTTTTCATTGACCCTCCACTTTACCAAGCATGATATCCTTCTCCAGAGACTGGTCCCTTCTGACAATATGACCAAAGTCTGGCCATTCTCGCTTCCAAGGAGCACTCTGGCTGCACTTTTTCCAGGACAAATTTGTTCTTTTAGAGTCCACGGTACTTTCAGCATTCTTTGTCAACATCACAACTCAAAAGCATCAACTCCTGTTCGGTCTGTCTTATTCATTTTTCCAGCTCTCACACGCATATGAGGTGGTTGCAAACACCATGACTTGGGTCAGGCGCATCTTAGTCTTCAAGGAGACATCTTTACTCTTCATCACTTGAAAGTCTTTTGCAACAGATTTGCCCAAAGCAATACATTTTTTGATGTCTTGACTGCTGCTTCCAATGACAGTGATTATAGAATGAAGTAATATGAAGTCTTTGGCAACTTCAATCTTTTCTCCATCTATCGTGATGCTGCCTTATTGGTCCAGTTGTGAGGATTTTTGTTTTCTTTATATTGAGATATAATCCATAGTGCAGACTGCAGTCTTTAATTTTCATCAGTAAGTGCTCCAAGTCATCCTCACTTTCACCAAGCAAAGTTGTGCCATCTGTGTATCTCACATTGTTAATGATCCTTCCCCAAATCCTGATGCCACATTCTTCTTCATATAGTCCAGCTTCTCGGAATTTGCTCAGCATATAATTTGAATAAGTATGGTGAAAAGATGCAACCCTGACACACTTCCTTCCTGATTTTAAACCATGCAGTGATCCCTTGTTCTGTTCGAATGACAGTCTCCTGGTCTATGTACACGTTCCTCATGAATACATTTAAGTGTCCTGGTATTACCATTCTTCTCAATGTTATCCACCATTTGCTGTGATCCACACAATTTAATGCCTTTGCATAGTCAATAAAACACAAGTAAACATCTTTCTAGTATTCTTTGCTTTGAGCAAATCTGTCTGTCATTAGCTACATCCCCTTCTGAATCAAGCTAGCATTTCTGGAAGTTCTCTGTCTATATACCACTGTAACCATTTTTTAAATTATCTTCAATAAGATTTTACTTGCATGTGATATTAATGATACTGTTTGATAATTTCCACATTCTGTAGGATCACCTTTTGTTGCAATGGGTACAAATATGGATCTCTTCCAGTCAGTTGGCCAGGTAGCTGTCTTCCAAATCTCTTGGCATAGATGAGTTAGCACCTCCAACGCAGCATCCATTTGTTGAAACATCTCAATGGGTATTCCATCAATTCCTGGAGACTTGTTTTTCACCAATTCATTCAGTGCAGCTTTGATTTCTTCCTTCAATACCATTGGTTCTTGATCATATGCCACCTCCTGAAATGGATGATCATCCATCAATTATTTTTGGTATAGTGACTCTGTGTGTTCCATTCATTTCTTTTGATGTTACCTGCATCATTCAACATATCGCCCATGGAATCTTTCAGTATTGCAATTTGAGGCTTAAATTTTTTCCCTCAGTTCTTTCAGCTTGAGAAATGCTGAGCGTGTTCTTCACTTCTGGTTTTCCAACTCCAGGTCTTTGCACATTTCATTATAATAACTGACTTTGTCTTCTTAAGTTGCTCTTTGAAATCTTCTGTTCAGCTCCTTTATATTGTCATTTCTTCCATTTGCTTTAGCTCCTCTCCATTCAAGAGCAAGTTTCAAAGTCAGTTCTGACATCCATTTTGGTCTTTTCTTCTTTTCTTGTCTTTTTAATGACCTCTTGCTTTCTTCATGGATGATGTTCTTGATGTCATCCCACAATTCCTCTGGTTTTCAGTCACTGATGTTCAATGCATCAAATCTATTCTTTAGAAGGTCTCTAAATTCAGGAGGCATATTATCAAGGTCATATTTTGGCTATCGTGGGCTTCTTTTAATTGTCTTCAGCTTTAACTTGAACTTGCATATGAGCAGTTGATGGTCTATTCCACAGTCAGCTTCTGGCCTTGTTTTAGCTGAAGATATTGAGCTTCTCCATCACCTCTTGCCACAGATGTAGTAAATCTGATTCTACTGTATTCTATCTGGCAAAATCCATGTGTATAGCTGCCATTTGTGTTGTTGAAAAAAAAAGGTACTTGCAATTAATAAGTCATTGGTCTTGCAAAATTCTATCATGCAATTTCCAGAATCATTTCTATTACCAAGTCCATATTTTCCAACTACCAGTGCATCTTTTTTGTTTCCAACTTTTGCATTCCAATCACCAGTGAAACACATCTTGATTGCATGTTCGGTCAATTTCAAACTGCAAAAGTTGGTAAAAATCTTCAATTTCTTCATCTTTGGCTTTGGTGATTGGTGAGTAAATTTGAGTAATTGTAGTATTAACTGGTATTATTATATTATCCCATCACTGAGAGTGTTATATTTCAGGACAGATCTGAAACATCCTTTGTGATGATGAATGCCACACCGTTCCTCTTCAATTTGTCATTCCCAGCATAGTAGATCATATGGTTGTTTGATTCAAAATGGCCAAAACCAGTTCATTTCAGCTCCCTAATGCCTAGGATATTGATCTTTATGCGTTCCACTTCATTTTTGACAACTTCCAATTTTCCTACATTCATACTTCGTACATTCCATGTTCCGATTATTAATGGATGTTTGCAGCTGTTTCTTCTCATCTTGAGATGTACCACATCAGCAAATGGATGTCCTGAAAGCTTTGCTCTATGCACATCATTAAGGTTGGCTCTACTCTCAGGAGGCAGCTCTTCTCCAGTCATATTTTGAGTGCCTTCAGACCTAAGGGGCTCATCTTCCAGCAGTGTATCTATCGCACAATGTCTCACGTTGTTCATAATGTTTTCACTGGTCAATTCTTTGAGAAGTGGATGGCCTCCTCCTTCTTCTGAGTCTATCTTAGTCTAGAGGCTCCCCTGAAACTTGTCCACCATGGGTAACCCTGCTGGCAGGATTAGAGGCAGTCATGTTAATGAGGCAGGATAGCATCTACAGGATTAGATTGTATCTTGATTCCATCCCTTTTGAGATATAAAAGAGATTAAACAAGTGAGCAGAGATCAGAGGGATCTCCTGCCACCAAAATAGAAGAGCTGGCAGCACAATGTATCCTTTAGACTTGGGGTCCCTGTGCTGATATCTAGACCCAGAAGAATACTGACACCAAGACACATGGAGATCTCCAAGAATGCTGGGCCCACAGATATTGAAAGGAGACAACAACCTTCCCCTAGAGTCCACAAAGAGATAAAGAATTCTGACTTCTAGCCTCCTAAAATATGAGAAAATAAATTTATCTTGGTTCAAGCCATCCACTTGTGGTATTTTTGTTATGGCAGCATTATATAACTAAGGCAATGCAATAGTGTTTTCTGCAGGTTAGGAACTATTCTAAGTGTTTTGCATGTATTAACTCTATAAAACAAAAGTGAATTTTGGCAAGATTTGAGGTAATTTTATTTAAACCCAAAATATACTATTTCCTATACCTTTTAGTGACCTAAGTGTGACTAATGAGGGAAAAAGGCTATAAAATGAGGAATGTTCAGATGCCTAGCAAAAGTTTCAGGACAGTGAAGAAAAACGGGCCTGGGGCCTAGAACAACATCATCAAATACCAGCAGAACTGTGAGTTTCTGTTTAAATGATTAAGGTTTACCAGATCTGTGTTTTAATTTTAAATTAGCATTGAATTTAATTTTAAAATATTATGAAATTTAAATTAGTTATCTGAGCATTAAGGAATTTTTTTTTTATTACCGTAAGATTGACATACATGAAAGGGAAATTCCAAAAAGGAATTGAACACATTAAATGTTAAGTAAGTTTAAAATGTTTGAAGGTATTTGCTTAGCAAATTTTTAAGGGAATCAAATATTATTCAAAGTTCACAAAAAAATTATTTATAACCTTTAAAATTTATAAATGAAATCCAAAAATATTGTAAGCTGAACTTTGAAGCCAAGAAGAATTGTATTTTTAGGTTTTGTAATTTAAGTTGAATGTTAACAAATGAAGCCTCGGAACAGTATTTTCTCCATGCAAAAGCACCCGCATAGTTAAATATTAGATCTTCCTCCACATTGGTTTTAAACTAAGGTTTTGCCCTTACCATGCTGCACGGCCATAGTTACCACTTAATAACAGAATCTGCTGCTGCTGTTCCTGCTGATACTCTATCATTGTATTGTTATTAAAGCACTCAGTTCTCTGAATAACTACATTTCTGGAGATGGGCATAAGTCAAGAGATGTCCCTAAAGTGAAGATGAAAGCAACCTTTTCTATAACACAAGAGTTAGACTAATTTTAATTCACTTTAATAATTTTAAAACAATATTCAGTACTTTTAGAAATAGAAGGTAGTTGTCTTAAAATCTAAAAATTAATAAATTTTTATCACTTCTAACCATGCCAAGAATAATCATTCAATAATCAATCACTGAATGTTGAGCCAGGACAATTTTCTTGGCAAATATATTTATGCAACAATATAAAACTTTCTAGCAGTTTTTATTCAATCAAAATGTGTTAAACTGTGTTTTGACAGTAGCAAAATAGAGACATTTCACTTACTTATAACCCCATGCAGTTATTCCTAATATGAGGGCCAGTACTAAAATAGTGCCAGCAATTATGCCTATTATGATATTGGTACCAGCAACACCTGGGGAAAGAAAGGAAACAATGAAGGTCAGTATATATAATTGAAATTTTAATTTAAAAGTCTCTCAGGAACTTTATTCTCCAGATTTGAAATCACCAGATAAAAAACAAAATAGTTGGATATATTTTTTTTATATATGAAAGATCAACCATAAAATTCCATGTCAAATTTTTATAAATTTCTCTGTGTAAGTTCCTTTTACATTCTTGTCCAAGTGCATTTTCACACTATTATATTTTCTGATGACATCACTGAAGGGTAAATTACGATAAGGGTTAAAATGTGGCCCCATATTACTGTATTTGCATAGTACCCTTTGGGGAGGAAATTTTAGGAATCCATGTTTCTTGTGACCCTGACGCCTTTCCCAGAAATTCTAGAAATATAATTGTTTATATCACTTCATTTTGACAACTAATATGTGGTCTTGTATTGTCCCTTTGTGTGTGTGCATGTGAGAGAGAGAGAGAGAGAGGGAGAGAGAGAGGGACAAACAGAGAGAGAGAGAGGAAGAGAGAGAGAGAGATGGATTTTCTCTCAAAGTAAATGTAAGCTTTGTAAGGGAGAAAATATGCTTACAGATTGACATTATCTGTACTCAGGTGGTATAGATGAGAAAAGAACTTGGCTGTAATTCCCAGTTTTGGCAATGATGTTGTGGCATCCCAGAGAAGGAAAACCCAAAGACATAGATACAGTTTGGAGAGCTGGAGTTCAGTGCTGGTGTGGCATGAAGGTGAGGTTGCACCAGACCAGTAGACAGCCAGGGCAAGTAGAATCCAGGGAGGGCTGAGACTCAGAACTCATTAGTGGCAGGGTGGTGCCAGTATCTGTTGTCAGGCAGACTAAGACATAATCCTTGAGAGAGTCATGGCAGAAAGAGTGGTCTAGTCAGGTGAAGGCTTGGTCAACAAGGTCAAAGTGAGGGCCCAAGAGCAGAAAAGGAACATTCGAAGCCTGGCTCTGACACCAGTAAGGCTGTTTTACTGATAACAATTTGCACCACATGTTAATTGCAGTGTTTTCACCCAGAGTGGCTCAAACTTCTCCTTGTCTCCTTCACACCTGAGGCATCCTCCTAGACATCAAAGATCAGAAATCCTGGGTGGCTGCAACTGATTCTAATTTCCCTCCCTGCCTGGAAGTTCTCAGCAGTCATGCTGGATGGCAGAGTTAGGGCATCTGAGAAGACTGGCCAACTCCAGCCTGCTTGGGTCCTCCAAGGGATAGGTGAATGCAGATACCACTGCATCCCCCGCATCCCTGGGATTTTCTTACTCCCAGACATGCCACATCCATTCTCCCTTCCATTTCTTCCAGGGAGTTAACAGGGATCAATAAACTTAGATGCTAGTCTTCATTATTTCTAAGTAGTGTTCAACTATTGACAAGGCACTTAAATCCATGGATCTTTTTGTCTGCATTAACTGTTGGAACCAGCCCCACAGAACCATTGTTAAGGATGGAGACACCAAAATCTTAATCACTCTGTGACTTTCTTTATTAAAGTCATATTGGCTGAAATTTTTAGTTTGTCTGGATAATCAGAATGCACATATTCTTCTTTTCTCATCCTGAATGGTCTTCAGGATTTTACCATCATTTAATGTAAGAGAATGTTTAATAGAAATAACAGTTTTAAAAGGTACATTTACTGTCAAGATATGAATTCTTTTACCTATCTGCATTTAATTTCTACTTGTCCATTTGGGCCACCCTAACTTTTAGAACTGCATTTCTTGTTTCTTTTCCATGTCCTTAAACTCCTTCCAGGCACCTTAGCCAAGGTTGCTACTCCTAGAATTACCTAAATGCAGAAAGTAGTTATAATTTCTATTTGGGCAGAAAGGTTTTTGACATCCCCAAACAGGTATAGCACTTGAAAAATCTCACTCTGAGCTAGAACTAGAAAAGGCTAAATCAGAAGAATAACATATATTGAATATTATTCATCATTTGCAAATTAATGGAAATGATAAGTTTCACAAGGTTTATCCCAGTCATATATTATAATCATTACTATATAGATTTAATTTATTTTTCATTGAGATATAGTAAAAACAATTCAAATAAAAATGTCTGAAGGACAGTTTTTTTTTTTTTCCCCCCATGCATGACAACCAAATGTAATGATACCAAATTAAATACCTACCATTGCCAGACAGCGTTATACCAGTCTTTGCATCATCATTGTGTGGGAAGTAAGTGTTACAGTCCGCACCAATCCAGTGTCTATTACACACACATTTCAGCTCATTACTACAAACCTAAAAATCAAAGACCAATCTAAGTAAACGTCAACACTCTAGTATAGATGTATGCAAAATAAACATTAATTTCTAATTATTATAATACTTAGAATTCAATGATACTAAAGAAATTCATGGTATTTTCATTCTAAAATTAATTCTTTTATTTCTTACTCCACAATCTAACGAGACCAATGGATGACCCAAAGGGAATGATTTTTAACAGAGGAATTCATCTTTATGCATACAAATATCAATGACATTAGTATTGTTTTGGCTTTCATTAAGTTAAATGTTTTAAGAGGGAGAAACTAAGCAGAAGTGTAATTATCTGTCAGTTATCTAATGCAAAGGTTGCTTTCTTCCAGAGGAAGAAAATCTTCTTTCCAAGATGTTATTAATCTTTTAGAAAGTTGGATGAGATCAAGAGAAAGCCAATGACGAAGCAGCAGGGCTGATGCTTTACAGCAATCTGAGAAAGAACCTTTACAAAGCTACCTTGGCCCTTCAACCCAACCCACAGACAAAAGGAGATACCCCAGTCATGGAAACAGTGAACTCCCACAAACAAAGCAATTGGAGAACAAATTCATACAAGAATGACACCAAATTTTTTAAATTATAAGAATATATCTTAATTTATCCATAAAGGAAATAGAATTTGTACCTAGATTTTATAAATTCAAAACAAGTTTCAATGGAGTGGGAAGCAGGAAAGACTTAAATTAGGTTCAAGATCAAAGTTTTTCCTGAGGTAGGTTTCACTGCATGTTTGTCTTCTGTCTGATCTAATTTGCCAAAATTAGGAAAATAAGCAGTTCAAAGTCATACATATTTCTGTGACATAAAAGAAATGAACACTGTCCCATGGCCAGGTAATGAATACTTACTCCATTTCCTGAACAAATAGTGCCTTCTTTATTGCTTAAGCAAGTACTAAAGTTGAAAGATGCCACAGGAAGACACCTGTGTTCTAAGCACATCATTTGAGAACCACAAGGTGTACCATCTTCCACATAGCCAAGATCTACATCTTCGTCAAGCTTAACATGGCCACCACTACAAATAAATTGGAAGCAAAAAGAAAATGGAATTCCATTAATCCATAATCATCTAGAGAGTATGTTTAAAACTAAAAAGTAGATAAAAGCACTTCCTCCATTTTCTATTTATCTAATAAAAACCAGTAGCATAAGCTATTTTGTTAATTCATTTGCTATTTATTGTATCACGTTACAGCGACACCCTTTGGGTTTCCAAGGCAGTAAATCTTTACAGAAGTACACTGCCCAGTCTTCCTTCCATGGAATGGCTGGTGGGTTTGAAGCGCCAGCCTTCTGATTAGCAGTCAACTGCCTTAGCCACTACGCCACCACAGCTCTCTGTGTGTGTGTGTGTGTGTGTGTGTGTGTGTAAATAATGGGCTTGTACTACTATTTCTTGATTTTTTTTTCCATTTCAAGCATTATCAACTGACTTTCCTCAATGGAATCTGAGAAGTTACCTCTGTCATCCCCCTCCCATTCCACATAATCAATATTCCCTTCCTCTTATCTTCCCAGGGAGGGTAATTTTACTTTAATCAATAACTAAATGTTTTTTAGTTGAGCAACATAGTATGTCATGATTAAACCCTTTCTTGTCTTCTTCATGTTTTTGTCTTCCTTCAGATCAGTAATTTATTCACTGTTTCTTTGATTACTTTTCTACAAAATTGTACTTCAAAACTAATCCAAACTTTCTGCCAGCTGTCAAAATCACCACTTCAGAGTATCTGAACATCAGTTCATCATCTTGGAGAAATCTCTCCTGGAATCGGCCAACCTACTCCAGTCTTGACTGGTTGTCCCATGTGTCTGATGTGGAGCAACAAATCTTAGATTTCTCTTCACCATCAACAATTTAGTGGTGGGTGTCTTGTATCCTATACTCCCTACTTTTCCCATTCTTGGTTTACTCCTTCGTTTTGGTAGAGCACATCTTCCAGCAGCTCCCTGGAAAAGGAGGCAGATTTGGGAGAAACTTTCATATCTAAAAGTTTTTTACTTTATACCCTCACACTTGGATTGATAATTTCTCTGAGTATAGGATTCCAGCTTGGAAATCATTTTCTCCATTCTCTTCTGGCTCCCAGGATTTTTTTTTGGTAGATCCTAAACCATCCTAATTTGTGACCCATTGTTTTTCTCCTTGTTTCTGGAAAACTCTGGGATTCTTTTCTTTGTGCTAAGAATGAGAAAATGCTAATGATATGCTTAGATGTGCCTCTAATTTCACCCATTTTGCCTCACACTTGGGTGAGCCTGTTAACTTGGAAACTCGAGTTCTTCGTTTCTAGACAATACTCTTGAGTTACTCACTGATAATATATCCTCCTCTCTATTTTCTCTCTTCTTTATTATTTCTATTCTAATATACGGAGATTTTTCTCTATATTCCATCTCTCTTTCTGCTCTACTTTCTAGGAGATAATTTCAGTCACTGAGTTTTATTTCTGCCATTATATTTTTAATTTCCAGTAGCACATTGTTCTTCTTCAATATGCCCCATTTTAAACAATAGCACCCTGTTCTTGTTTTATGATAGATATAAGTCTCTCATAAATACTGACTGAGGCTTTTTTGTTGTTCATTTTTGTCTCCCCCCCCCCATCCATGTTAGAGACTGTTGTCACAAGTTGGACAATCTTTTATACTCTGCTCATATTTAGCATGAGAACCAGAAAGGTGATTGGAAATTCTAGGGCTTTCTGACTGTGAATATCAGTGATGCTGGACCACTTCTGTAGAACTCATGATATCAATATTGCCCGTTCCCTACTTTGGAAATCTCGTGTTTTATCCTCTGCAGTTTATAAAGCTCAAATCTTCCACGGGAGGATAGTCAATCCTCAGTTTTAGCTGAGTTAAGAAAGTAATGTGTGGATATAATTGCTTCTTTGAAAAACAAATTTTCATCTATCTTCTTTATTTCAGTATCCTTCATACCAATGCCTTTACTCCCTCTTCTGAAGTAGACAGTGCTGCCAATTTCTGAGCCTTTGGGGAACTGATAGTATATGCTAGGCTGGTTCTCAGTTTTCTCCATCATTGGCTTAAGGTTCAGCTTTCTTATATTTGATATATCATTTGCTTTCTACATTCCATATTATGTTACCATCATCTTCCCTCTCTTTCTCTGTCTCCCTGTAGGTATAAGGATTCTTAAAAAAGATCCATTTAGTGTCATTTTAATGGGAATTCAGAAGAGAGCAAAAGTAGATGTATATATTTAACCCAAAAGCCCCAATATTCATTTTTCTTAATAAGAACAAAATGCAAGAAATAAATCCTGCAAGATTTTACTGTTACTGTTCTTGTTGTTAGGTGCCACCGAGTTGGCACTGACTCACAGCGACCCTATGTAAAAGAACGAAACACTGCCTGGTCCTGTGCCGGCCTCACAGTCCTTGCTATACCTGAGCCCATAGTTAGCCACTGTGTCAGTCCATCTTGTTGAGGGCCTTCCCCTTCTTCGCTGACCCTCCACTTTACCAAGCATGAGATCCTTCTCCACAGAATGGTCCCTTCTGACAACATGACCAAAGTAGGCCATTCTTGCTTTCAAGGAGCATTCAGGCTGCACTTCATCCAGGACAGCTTTGTTTGTTCTTTTAGTAGACCATGGTACTTTCAGTAGTCCTCCCCAATACCACAACTCAAAAGCATCAATTCTTCTAGGTCTTCCTTGTTCATTGTCCAGCTCTCACATACAAATGAGGCAACTAAAAATACCATGGCTTGAGTTAGGTGCACCTTCAAGGAGACATCTTTGCTCTTCAGCACTTTAAAGAGGTCTTTTGCAGCAGATTTTTCCAGGGCAATACATTATCTGATGTCTTGACTGCTGCTTCCATTGATGTTGACTGTGGAACCAAGTCATATGAAATCTTTAGCAACTTCAATCTTTTCTCCATTTATTTTAATGCTGCTTATTGGTCCACTTGTGAGGATTTTCATTTTCTTTATGTTGAGACGTAATCCATACTGCAGGTTGAAGTCTGTAATCTTCATCAGTAAGGGCTTCAAGTCATCCTCACTTTCAGCATGCAAAGTTGTGTCATCTGCATCTGTGTTAATGAATCTTCCTCCAATCCTGATGCCATGTTTTCATATAGTCCAGCTTCTCAGATTATTTGCTCAGCATACAGATTGAATAAGTATAGTGAAAGGATACAACCTTGATGCACTCCTTTCCTGACTTTAATCTATGCAGTATCCCCTTGTTCTGTTCAAATGACAGACTCCTGGTCTATGTACAGGTTCCTCATGAACACAGTTAAGTGTTCTGGAATTCCTACTTTTCTCAATTGTATCTATAATTTGTTATGATCCACACAATTAAGTGCTTTTGCATAGTCAATAAAACAAGTAAACATCTTTCTGGTATTCTTTGCTTTGAGCCAAGATCTATCTGACATCAGCAATAATATCCCTCACTCCACATCCTCTTCTTGAATCCAGCTTGCATTTCTCAAAGTTCTCTCCCAATATACTGCTGCAACCATTTTTGAATTATCTTCAGTAAGATTTTACTTGCATGTGATATTAAGGATATGGTTCAGTAATTGCCACATTCTGTAAGACCACCTTTATTTGGAATAGGTACAAATATGGATCTCTTCCAGTCAATTGGCCAGGTAGCTGTCTTCCAGATCTCTTGGAATAGACAAGTGAGTGCCTCCAGCAGGGCATCCATTTGCTGAAACATGTCAGTGGGTATTCTGTCAATTCCTGAAGCCTTGTTCTTTGCCAATTCCTTCAGTGCAGCTTCAACTTCTTCCTTCAATATTACTGGTTCTTGATCATATGCCACCTCCTAAAATGGATAAAGATCAGCCAATTCTGTTTGTTACAGTGACTCTGTGTACGCCTTCCATCTTCTTTTGATGTTTCCTGCATCATTCAATATTTTACCCATAGAATCTCTCAATATTGCAACTCGAGGCCTGAATTTTTTCTTCAGTTCTTTCAGCTTGAGAAATGTAGAGTGTCTCTTCCCTTTTGTTTTTCTAACTCCAGGTCTTTCCACATTTCATTATAGTAACTGACTTTGCCTTCTCAAGTTGTTCTTTGAAATCTTCTGTTCAGCTCTTTTATCTTGTCATTTCTTTCATTTACTTTAGCTACTCTCTGTTCAAGGGCAAGTTTCAAAGTCTCTTCTGACATCCATTTCAGTTGTTTCTTCCTTTCCTGTCTTTCCAATAACCTTTCGCTTTCTTCATGGATAATGTTCTTGATGTCATCCCACAATTCCTCTGGTTTTAGGTCATTGGTGTTCAACGCATCAATTCTATTCTTTAGATGGCCTCTAAATTCAGGAGGGATATAATCAAGGTCATATTTTGGCTCTTGTGGGCTTCTTTTAATTGTCCTCAGCTTCAATTTGAACTTGCATATGGGTAACTGATGGTCTGTTCCAAAGTCAGCTCTTGGCCTTGTTTTGGCTGAAGATATTGAACTTCTCCATCACCTCTTGCCCCAGATGTAGTCAATCTGATTCCTGTGTACTCCGTCTGGCGAAGTCCATATGTATAGCCATCATTTGTGTTGTTGAAAAAAATATTTACGATGAGTAAGTCGTTGGTCTTGCAAAATTCTATCATGTGATCTGCAGCCTTATTTCTATTACCAAGGCCATATTTTCCAACTACCAGTGATCTTTGTTTTCAACTTTTGCATTCCAATCACCAGTGATAATCAACACATCTTGATTGCATGTTTTGTCAATTTCAGACTGTGGAATTGGTAAAAAATCTTCAATTTTCTCATCTTTGGCTTTGGTGGTTGGCACATAGATTTGAATAGAAGTATTAACTGGTCTTCCTTGTATGCATATAGATATTATCCTATCACTGACATCATTGTACTTAGGATTGATCTTGAAAAATTGTTTGTGATGATAAATCCTACACCATTCTCTTCCATTTGTCATTCCTGACACAGTACATCATAAGTTTGTCTGATTCAAAATGGCCAAAACCAGTCTATTTCAGCTCACTAATGCCAAAGATATCAATCCATTTCATTTATTACAACTTCCAGTTCTCCTAGATTCATACTTCATACAGTCCGTGTTCCAATCATCAATGGGTGTTTGCAGCTGTTTCTTCCCATTTTGAGTCATGCCACATCATTCTGTGGTCCCAAAAGCTCTACTCTATGCATATCATTAAGGTCATCTCTACTCTGAGGAGGCAGCTCTTCTCCAGTCATATTTTGAGTGCTTTCCGACCTGAGGGGCTCAATCTTCTGGCACTATATCAGACAATAAGTTCCAGGGCTATTCATAATGTTTTCTAGTAATATATCAGACAGTGTTTCACTGATATTCATAAAGCTTTCATTGCCCAATTCTTTCAGAAGTGGATGGCCCCTTTCTTCTTCTGAATCTGTCTTGGTCTGGAAAGCTCTGCTGAAACCTGTCCACCATGGGTAACCCTGTTGGTATTTGAAACAGCAATAGGATAGCCTCCAGCCTCACAGCAATATACAGGCCACCACAATACAACATACTGACAGACAAGTGGTGGAAGATTTTACTAATCAACTATATATAACTGTCTAGCAACCACATAGTATTTCACCTTCAACTAATTCTTCTCTTCTCTAAATCTATTTTCAATTTACTCAATTACCTCTAGGAATTAGATTCTATTTCAGCTTACTAATTTAATATATGCAGGAACTGACAACAAAAGTACTTTTAAACTGTGTTCCTACGAAGTGAGATGACTCATGTTCTCACCGAATGGTTAATTACCTGCAATTTAATGTTCTCCCCTGCTGTACAACTAAAGTAGATGTGATTTCACCATCCAGTTCTCCAAGCCTTGGGATATTACCAATATTAGTACATAAAAGGTAGCCACAAAGCACATCCCTGTGTTAAAAGAGTATCAATTATATACCCACAAAGGCAGAACAAATCATTTACAGTTAGAATAATCTTATCTCAATGTAATATTAACATTTTCATCAACTATATTTTTACTCATATATCAAACAAAATAAAACAAGCTCAATTTAATCTGCCTCTTGCTTTAAAAAGTGTTTTCCCTGAAACTCTTATGGTGTATCAAAATCCCAACTGTTTCCTATATTTTGCTTTCCTTTTTATTAGTTCAATGGTTATTTAAATGAAACTGTCTTCCAAATAGACTTCTTTTATATTAGAATGTCTTTTCCCATACCATCACTGTAGATGCTAAAGTTTTTCAAAATAATAATAATATTTGATAAGTGAATTAATGGCCTTTGCATGTATATTCTTTTGGAACTCAGATCTTCCCTTGACGTGGCACATCAGAATTAAAGAGATTATATATAAAATATACTTTATTTCATATATTTGCAACCTTCCTCAATGTATTTCACTATTCCCTCTGCTATCACATATAATTCTAAATTAATTTGTAAAATATTTTCAAGGATGTTAAACACTATCTTATATATTCTTTATGTCCAACACATTTTAATTATTAATAGAAATAATGATAAGCATCTTAATAAATTTCTTGTGAAGACTGATTAGCAGGTCAGCAACCCTATAAATGGATCTATCAGAGTTTAATAGATGGAAAAAAGAGATTTGTATATATCATCAACACAGAAAAAACAGGAATTAGTTCATCCTTAATATATATCATTTTACTGCATTTGTCATAAAAAAAAATGCTTTCTCAACACAGAAGAGATATTTATTTAATATCTTTTTCTTAGTGTCATTTATGTGTATGCACCTTACTTAGTACTTTAGAGTCTATCAAGAAAATCAGACATGATCTTACCGTCAGGTAAGAAGATAAGTCACACCTATACATAACTATAAAACACAGAATTGGGATAAGGGTCATAAAAATAGTACAAAGGGCTGTGGGAGATTAGAAGAGAAAAAAAAAAAAAAACAGTGATGGTATGGGAAAAGACCTTTTAATATAAAAGAAGTCTATTTGGAAGACAGTTTCATTTAGATAACCATTGAACTAATAAAAAGTAAAGGAAAATGTAGTAAACAGTTGGGATTTTGATACACCATAAGAGTTTCAGGGAAAACACTTTTTAAAGCAAGAGTTCAAAACAAACTCACTGCCATGGAGTTGGATCCGACTCATAGCGACCCCTCCTTGAGTGTCTAAGGTGTTATCACTATGAAGTAGATCGCCCAATCTTCCTTCCAAGGAATGGGTGGTGGGTTTGAACCACCATCCTTCTGGTTAGCAGTCAAATGCCTTAGGCACTATGCCACCAGAGCTCCCAAAGAGAAAAGGGAGTTAATTTATTTCTACAGTAAATCAAGAAAGGATTAAATAGAAAGTGTTATCCAAGCTGGATTTTAAAGGATGGATAAATGTTTGACTGGTGCTGTAATGGGTATAAAGGGTACTTACAGAAGAAATAATAGCACAAATACAGACATAGGGGAGGACAAAATAATGTACATGTTAGGAATGATAAGGTTTTCTAGAATTTGGAATAGAGAAGCAAAGACTAAAAAAAAATGTAGGTGCAGAGCAAATTGTAGAGGAGGTTAGTGCCAAGCTAAGGTCCTGTTTTAGTTGTTAAACAGGGCAGTAAGACATTCAGCAAAGTAGTTGAAGAGAGAGTGGCATCAGATCACCTGTCTTCTAATTCTGCTTCTACTATATCTTAGCTACATGATCTAGGGCAAGTTAAACAATTGTGCCTCAGTTTCCTCTTCCATATAATGGTAAGAATGTGCCAAAAGGATGAAAAGGCATAGCTTATATAAAGTATGATATAATGCTAAGCACATAATGTGCACTCAATTAATGCCGGGTACTATTCTGACTATAAATTAGCTATGTGGACCTGGTAAAATTTTGAACCAAAAAAATGACATGGTCAGAAAGATTCAGAAAATTATTCAGATGGCTTCATGCTAGGGAATGGTGGTCTAGAGATCTATCAAGGAATTATTGTAATAGTTCACAAGTTAATACAGGTCAAAGCTGGGGGTAATAACAATTAGAATGGAAACAAAGGGACAAATTAAAGATCAACAGGAATGGGGAACCAAACTGAAGAGTGGACACGACTTGGCAACTGGATAACGTGCAAGAGAAAAGGTGCAGTCATGGATCACTCTGAGGCTACTAAGCAGAAGGACAGTGAGATACTGAGACCTTCAGTGAAAAACAGGGATGGCTTAGGAAAGTCAGGGCAATTAATTCCATCCAACAGAACTGAGTTTGTATTCTGGTGGCTTCAGTTTTTGTTACTTTTGACCTGCTGGTAAGTATCTGTAGGCACCTTGTAGCTGAGGCAGCTGCAAGTATGACCTGAGCCTTTGGAGAGAGGTCATGGTACATGTCAAGATTTGGGAGCATTCTGCATAGGTAATGCTGGTTAACATTGTGAAGAACTGAGGTAAGAGCATTCTTTTGGATGTGAAAAACAGCAAAGTCCTGGTCACCCAAAAATGATGCTTATAATTGACTAAGTGATGAACTCTGGACCGACTACTCCACCTCACCGTTTGTTGCACTGTATCCAGGTGTCTTTGTCTTTGCCACAGTTACCCTTCTCGGTCCCTTCAATATTCAGTTTCTCATAGCAGTATTTGTCTGATGCTGTCACTTCTGAAGCAGAATAAAGTGTTCTATTAGTTTGGGAGGTAAAATGCAAGCTACTCAAATTTTTTACAATAAAGTATGTTTACAACTTAAGGATTCTTCTTCACTATTATCAATTACAAATATTATACCCACAGAGTTGATGAGTTTTCCTATACCATAGACATTCATGATGCAGGTACATTTTTCATGAATCCTCATTTATAATTTGGGAAACAAATATATTTAGATCTCTGATAGGATTCAGATTATGGGTTGCAAGAACAGCGCTCCTTATCCTTCGGCCAAAAATTAGGGTAAGATGCCAACAAATAATTCCTAGAATAAATGTTCCATGCATCACCTCAGTGCCATATATAAAGTATGAATTTCTCATTCAACAACTTACATTAATCATAAAGCCAATTTTATTAAAATAGTTATGCCCTATAATTAAGGAGTGGAAAATGGTGGTACAATTTCTACTTTGCTCACTATTTCTTAACAGCTATAAAAACAACTTAATTGAGGAGGAGACAATATGGTGTCCCTGGTGACATATTCCACCTCATCCTTCTACAACAAAGACCAGAAAACAAAGTTAAACAAATAAAGATGACAATCCTGGAACTCTGTGTATCAAATGAAAGGATTAAGAATTGGATTAAACACCAATTGGACAAATTGGTGTTTCTGAATGAAACAATGAAACAACTATTCCGAATGAAAACAATGATTGAAGAGAGAGAGCAGAGATCTGAAACCATGTGGCCATTCTGAAACACAAAAGCCAATGTATATGGGTGAGAAGAAGCCAACTTCACAGGATTCCCGTTAGGATAAAACCACAGTCTAAACAAATCCAGAGTGAAACAAGGTAAGTAGGATATGAGCTAGATCTAAGAAACAGAAGTGGGTGAGAATCCCAGTAGCATAGGTGACTGCACAGAAAAGGAACCGTAAATGGAGATGAAACTACTTATCAGTAATAAGCCCTAGTTGTTTGGGTTGAGAGTCAAAGCAGAGGGGAAGGCTTATGAATGGTGATTGGAGAAGCTGGACTCTGGGGAGCGCCTGCCTCGATTGATTTAGCAGGAACCAGATAATCAGCTGCACTCACTCAGAAATTCACTAGGGCCCCACTAGTGAACGGCAACTGGAGAAGTGCTGTTTTCCCCACCATATCTTCCCCCCCACACACACACACCGCCTACCAGGTTTCTGCTGCCTTTGTGGTAAGAGCACTAGCATGATGGGCTTCCCAATGACCAGGGATAAGACACCTCCCCAAACCCACCAACCCACCACTCTCTACCTGCCCAGTTTGATTAGACCACCTTCCCCAACTAGCATCATACCCCAGCAAACCGCGTAGTGTGCCCGAGGATCACACTCTGCAAACATCATCTGTGTGATTGACAGAGTATACTCTCACAGACTGCAAGCCACACTTTCAGAGGTGTGTACATGCATAAACTGCTCCAGGAACCCTTCACCTTCACTGTCAGGGGTGTACACATGTGCAGACTGCCTTACAGGTGTTTGCCACCTTTGTAGTCAAGGTGCTAGCACACACAGACTGCATACCAGGCTTCTGCGGCCTTTGTGGTAGGGGCATTGACTACATGATGGGATTGTCCAACATGCAAAACACATGCCCAGCTCACCCTGTTAAGGTTTCCCCATGACAGAGGATGTGTGCTCACATGGTTCACATGACAGCTGCCAGCCATGACTGCAGCTAATGGCATGTGTCTCAGTGGATAGGGCACTGTGTTCCTACCACTTTACAAGCACAGACAACCACTGAGGCACTACCTTCCCCCCCCCCCTTTTTTTCTTTTTCTTTTTTTGACATCTTCCTTTTTATTTTTCCCTTCCTCTTCCGTTGTTAACTATGTTTTGACATTATCCATGTTTTCTTTTATCTGCCCCATCCAACAGAAAGTGGGTACTGTTTCCTCATTAATTAACCACACCTACCACCTACTCCCCTACCCAATGGGCAAGTGCCACTACCAACTCTTACATCAATGGATCAATAATATTAAGTGGATAACACCTCCTCACCCCTCCTATAGCTGTTCTTTAGGACCAGCAAACAAAGACCTGTGCCTGTACTCCCACCAGTAACTTCAAAGTTCAACCACCTGGAGGCAAGTAGTAAATGTCCCAATGCTGCCAAATTAGTGAACAAAGTAGCAGGCCCACCCTACTCACCCAGATGTGTCAAATGAAATGTCAGAGTGAAACAAACTAGCACACAATAAACAAATAAATATAACAAATCCAAAATATCTCAGAGACAATACCAAAACCAAACTCACTGCTGTCAAGTCAGATCTGACTCTAGTGACCCTCCTTGGGTTTCCGAGGCAGTATCACTACAGAAGTAGATCGCCCAGTCTTCCTTCTGAGGAGTGGCTGGTGGGTTTGAACTGGCAGCCTTCTGGTTAGCAGTCAAATGCCTTAGGCAGTTCAACACCAGAGCTCCTCAGAGACAACAGACAACTTCAAATCAAACAAAGAAACAGAAAAACTTGGTGCATGCAGGTGACCAAAATAAAAAAACCCAGGAAAACTCCTTGAGGAAGAACAGGTAATAGAACTGCCTGAGATGGAATTCAAAAGATTTATATAGAGAGACTTCTGAAAGATCAAATAAACAACAAACAAAATAAAGGAAAACACAAGAGAATCACCTAAGAGAACTTAGGAGAACAATACAAACCCAAAATGACAAAATAAACAGAAACTATACAAAAGTAGCAATTCAAAATTCAGATGAACATTAAAATTTAAGAGATAGATAACACATTGGAAGGACAAAAAAGCAGAATTAAAAGAAGAATGGATCAATGCATTAGAAGACAACTCTCTTGACACCAATTTATATGAGGAAAAATCAGAAAAAAAGAATGACAAAAAATGAAGAAGGCCTAAGAATTATGTGGGACACTATCAAGAGGAAAAATTTATGTGTGACTGGAATTCCAAAAGGAAGGTGAAAAAAAAAGAGAGAGAACTGTTGAAGTTTTACTACCAGAAAACTTCCCTAATATCATGAAAGATGAAAAGATATCCATCTAAGAAGCTCAATGAACCCCATATAGTATAGGCCCCAAAAGAAAGTTACCAAACATATCATAATCAAACTTTCTAAAACCAAAGACAAGAAAGACTTGTGAGAGCAGTTTAGGAAAAACAAAATGTTACCTACAAAGAGGAACCAATAAGACTAAGTGTCGCGTCCAGCGCGGCAGGGTTCAGATGAACAGGAGGTAAGAGAATGAGAAAAGGTAAAAGATTAAAGTATGAGGACGGGAGGAACACTCAGAGCCATTGCAAAGCGGTGTCAATTTTATTTGTTCTTTCACAGGCTTATATACAGACAAGCTAAGATGAAGCAATATTGAGTTAGCATATTACAAATATAACCCAAGTTCCTTGTTCTGGGGTAGTCAGGTCAAGTTCCTTCTTCTTCCTCCTGCAACTTCTCTATTTATATACTATTTCATTAAGATCTAGGTGCAGGGTA